AATTAATAATCACTGGTAGTAATGAAGGCCAGGTTTTCATTTCCCATTAAAAGATGTAGCTGGACTTATTCTGAGGTGATTTACACCAAGCTCCTGACTCAGCACATCCACATCACCCATCCTTTATGTGATTTATAGCAGCTTTTAAAGCAAGAACTGGATGGCTTTGATCCAGTTGCTTTCTTTGAGTCCAACAGGATAAATCAGCAGGCATCAGACCAGGTCTTTGAAGAGCAAAAGGTGGTTATTTTAATTTTTAATTTTTTTCTTGCCTCAGTATCGCTGTGCACTTTCTGTGTGCATCTAGAAATGGATTTCAGGCTGTGCCAAGTTTGGTTTTGGCCCTGGATAGATTTTATCCTGATATTGCATTCAGTGCTGTTCTGTCAGCTTTTCTGCCATGGGAGTGTGAGACCAGGCACAGCATCTGGGGAGTGTTATTTGTTTTCTGATACTTTCCCTGGGGTTTGCTGTTCTTGTTGGTTTTCTGATTTATTTTCCCTTTTTTTTTTTTTTTTTTTTTTTTTCCTTTTGGATGAGGTTACTTCTGTTGATGTATGGCCCAGATCTGTCCTAGTCTACTTTGAAAGCTGGTAAATGAGTAAAGCTGGGCTTTGGGATTGGAAGTGATGCGAGGGCAAATGTATTCCCACATTTGAAGAGAGTTCAGGTTCCTTGGGGCAGGGGGTGTCTGTGTGTGGCAATGTACACAAATTTGATGCTCCAAAAATGGGAGATTTAAGCATATCTATTTGTTGGGAAAGGCTGCTTAAACAGCAAAAAAACTGAGGGTAGAGTTAAGGATGAAAGGACAGGCTGGAAGACCTGGGGTTGTTTAGTCTGGCGAAGAGAAGGCTCCAGGGAGATCTCAGAGCCCTTTCCAGTGCCTGAAGGAGCTCCAGGAGAGCTGGAGAGGGACTTGGGACAAGGGATGGAGTGACAGGACACAGGGAATGGCTTTAAACTGCCAGAGAACAGGGTGAGATGGGATATTGGGAAGAAATTCTTCCCTGTGAGAGCAGAGAGGTGGTGACACCAGTTTTCCAGAGAAATTGTGGGTGCCCCATCCATGAAAGTGTCCAAGGCCAGGTTGGATAAGACATTGAGCAGTCTGGTTTAGTGGAAGGTGTCCCTGCCCATGGCAGGAGGCTGGAAAAAGATGATCTTCCAAAACCATTCTATGATTGCAAAATTCTATAATTAGGAGCCTTTTAAAAGCAGCTTTCTAGATATCCTGAAACCCATAAATGAAAAAGAGCACTAAAGAACCCTCAGCTAACAAACAAACAAAAACCCACAAGGCAAATGCATCAATATCTAAAAAAAAACCAAAAAAAACCCACCAAAAAACAACACAGTCTGTTATAGAGGGAAAGTAAAAGCTTGAAAAATACAAGAGAAAAAAAAAAAAAAAGGAAAAGTGGAGGAATTTTATTCTTCAAACCAGGAAAGATGAATAAAAAGCAAAATTCAGAGTCTACTAAACCCATAAGAAATCCTGATGGTATTGGTTTGTTACTAGCTCGAAATGACAGATTTATTTATAATAATGCAGGAATTTCAATAAACGCCTGTATTCTGTAATTGGAAGCGAGCCTGGTTCCTTAATCCACATCCCAGCCTAATGAAATACTTTTCATTACACCAGCAGCTGGAAAACCTGCTATACATCATCCAGCAAAGTGAGATGTGTGCAAGAGAAACAAGACAGAGCAATTTGGAACGCGAGGGTTTTAAAAGAGCAGGTTAAGACTAATTTGGGCTCATTGCTCTTTAGGAAATGAAAAGTGGAAGAGTTCCCCAAATCTGGAGAGAGGAGCATGTGTGTGTAAGCACAGCAGCCTCACATCTGTCTTAGGCACAATATCTATCTGAAATGGAATCCAAAAATGTAGGGATTGTGGGTAATTTTATGATTATAATTGAATAATAGCACGCTCATTAAAACAGAGGCATTAATAGCAATCAACTTATGGAAAATAGATTTTGTCGAGCTAAATTAATACTTTCTAGGAGAATGCAGAACTGGTTGTTGGAGTCTGGGAATTTGTCATTATTTGTACACATCATAAATAAGGCATTTTTCTCGGTGACAGTGGATAAACAGAACAACTCAATAATGCAGATCTTGGAAATACGAGCAGCACGTAGAGGGTAGAATACAGAATTCAGACTTCCCATGAGACTGGCCTTGGATCTCTTGGTCTCTTCCAAAAAGGGTGTTGGGGGATGTCAGAAGGTGCATGAAAGAGAACAAAGAGCAATGCCAGGGTCTGAAAGCCTCCAAGAGATGATGTGACAGCTCAGAGAAAATCATGTGAAGAGCTGCTGATCCAGAGAAGACAAATTTATGGCCCATGAGATGGATGGAGAACCACAGGATCAGAGAATGGTTTGGGTTGGAAGGGACCTTAAAAGATTATTTAGTTCCAACCCCCTGCCATGGGCAGGGAGACCTTCCACTAGACCAGAATGCTCCAATCCCCTGCTCCAAACCCTGCCCCAAAACCCCTGCTCCAAACCCCCTCCAACCTGGCCTTGGACACTCTCAGGGATGGGACATTCAGACATTTAGTAGGGTCCAGACATTTAGAAATGTGGATGAGCACCAGAACTAAAAAAACCAAAAAAACAAACAAAAAAAAAACCCTCAAAAAAACAACAAAAAAAAAAAAAAACAAACAAACAAAAAAAAAACCCAAAAAAACCCAACCAAACAAACAAAAAAAAACCATTCTGTGCATTGCCCACAGCTTTTACAGTAAAATTAATTTGGGTTTTTTTATGATTTTATTTTTTTAACTATGAACAGTGCTCTAACCCAAACCAGAAATAATTCAGGGAGGCTCAGTGCCACATGCTGAACAGGATCTGAGTGGACACTGAGAGCAAGATGTGCTGATGCTCTGTCACCCAGGCCACGGTGGCACAGGGAAGTGGAGGGAGGCTCAGAATCATCCTGTGAGGAGCACGTCAGAGCCTGCACCGGGTCAAGACCTGCAAAGAACTTGTCTGTGACTCAGGGCAGGTCTCTGGAGCCAGCAGCACAGAGCTGTCCAAGCCATCTGTGGTGCACCCACGGCTGATGAGCAGCTTGGCTCCATCTGGAGCTGCCGTGGGCTCGCTGCTGGCATTGCTGCCGAGGTCCCCTCCTCTGAGGATGGTCAGCTGGGGAGATGGGACATCTTTCCACATGTCCCTTCAGTGAAGGCAGATGGCCCTTTTGCTCTGCCTCCACATCCTGTCTCAGGCACCTGTGAAGCCCAGGTTGTGCACAGGAGTGCTGACCTTCTCCCCATGTACTGAATTTCTGCGCTTGCTCTCTGCATCTGCACTCCCCGAGTGGCCATATCCCAGGAGATAGGACTGGACAAGACACAGAAGCAATGGGTGGAAAATGACAGCAGTTTCTGGGTCCCCACTGTCCCAGCACATGAGGCAGAGCAGCAGATTCCCCTTTTCCCTGGTTTGGTCCCTTGTGCTCGCACAGAGATGGGGCTGCAATAATTTTTCCTGATGGTAATGAAACCACCCCACCTGTGGAATGAAGACCATGGAGACTTCCCCATCTATGGCCCCTTCCCCATTCTGCTGCTTTTCCCCAGGCTGAAAGGATGCCAGGAGAAAGCAGGGATCTGTCCCTTTGATGTCTTCAGGTCCCTTTGGCCATGAGGGAGGAACATCCCTGCCATGCCCAGAGCTCTGGGAATGTGGGGAAGGGCTCAGGAGGGTCCTGGCCTGGCCTTTGGAGAAGGAACAAGGGAGGAGTGAAGCTGTGAATTGGGGTTCCCGTGGCTGGGGGAGGTCTATACACATCTATATGGGGTGTGGAGCAGGGGGTTGGGTGTGTATGGGGTGAGAGATGGGGCTGTGGGGGCAGTGAGGTGTATTTTAGGTCCATAGTGTTATATCCATAAATGGGATATGTGGGACAGGGCTGTAGGAATGGGAAGGTGTGTAAGGACAGGGCTGCAGGATTATTTATCCATGTGTCCCACATGTGGATCAATATGGTAGGTGTCACAGCGCCTTGGGGTTGTGCATGCACATCTTGGTGGGAAGTTGTGCATTGGTATATGGGATAAAAATGAGGCAGAGCTGTGGGGTTAAGGATGTGTATATGGAACAAGTGCTTAAGGAAATGTATATGGCATATGTGGGACTGGGCACAGGGCTAAGAAAGCATATATGGGATAAGTGGGAAAGGGATATGGGGTTAAGAAGGTGTATATGGGATATGTGGGGCAGGGCTGTAGTGTTGGGGAGGTGTATATGGGATATGTGGGGCAGGGATATAGGGTTAGGGAGGTGTATATGGGACATGTGGGACAGGGCTACAGGGTTAGGAAGGTGTATATGGGATATGTGGGGCAGGGATATAGGGTTAGGAAGGTTTATATGGGACATGTGGGACAGGGCTACAGGGTTAGGAAGGTGTATATGGGATATGTGGGGCAGGGTTATAGGGTTAGGGAGGTGTATATGGGATATGTAGGAAAGAGCTATACAATCAGGAAGGTTTATATGGGACATGAGGGACAGGGCTACAGGGTTAGGAAGGTGTATATGGGATAGGTGGGGCAGGGATATAGGGTCAGGAAGATGTATATGGGATATGTGGGGCAGGGATATAGGGCCAGGAAGGTGTATATGGGATATGTGGGGCAGGACTCCAGGGTTATACATCCATGGGGTGGCTATGTGAGATGAGGCTGTGCAGTTATGCGTGCACACGTGGGACAGGTGGGCTGTAGGGTTAGGGGGGTGTATATGGGATATGTGGGGCAGGGCTATAGGGTTAGGGCGATCGTGAGACTGGGCAGCCCGGGGGCTGCAGGGGGCCGTTCATACGTGTGGGGTTGATGGAGGGGTCACAGCGGGGCGGGGGAGCCGCGGACGGACCGGCAACAGGAGCAGGATGGAGACGCAGGTCCGCTGGGGGGTTGGTGGGATGGGGGCCCGCCCCGTCCCTCCCTCCCTCCCTGCTCTCCTCCCTCCAGCAGAGCCTCCGCCTCCGCCTCTCCGCCCGGCGCCTGGTCCTGGCGCGGCTGCCGAACGGTCCCGCTCGACGCCTCCCGGACCAAGTGCCTGTGTGACCGGCTCTCCGCCTTCGCCATCTTAGCCCAGCTCAGCCCCGACATGGTGAGTCCCGCCGGCAGCACCGCGGAGGGAGGAGCGGAGGGGCCGGGGAGGCGTGGGGACACACGGGGGGACAGGGCGGAATGAAGCGGGAGGGAAGGGGACGCGCCCGGGATGCAGCGGAGCATCCCCGGCGTGCGGCTCTCGGGTACCGCGGAGGCGCGGCGGGGACAGCCCCGAGCGCTGCCGCCGCCGCCGCCGCTGCTGCTGCAGTCCGGTGTCACCGGGACCGTGGCGACACAGCGTGAGGCTTTGCATAACCCTCCCCCTTCCTTCCCCGCCGTCCTTCCTCTCCCCTTCCCCCCGACCCTGACCGCAGCTTTGGGGACACAACACGCGCGGGCATCGCGGGTGCTGCCGCGCTGCTCCCCTCGCCCTCCCCATCCATCCTTCCATCCCTGCGCCGTGCCTTGGGACGTGAATCCCGCTAAGTGTGGGGAGCCGCCGGCCCCCGCAGGCGTGTTCGCTGCCGTGGGCTCCCCACGCACGGAATCTTCCGCACGTGGCTTTTTTTGGGGGGGGCGGAATTCGCCCCGCTCCGCCTCCCTCCCCGCCTGTCTCCATCCCCGCCTCGGCGTCCTTCCCGCTACCCCACGCAGTTTTGGGGAGGGTGTGTGTGTTTGTGGCAGGGTTCCCACGCTGGAATCGGGGAGCGTGGAGGGGAGGAGTTGTGAAGTTTTGGCCGCTTGTCGGGGACACGAAGTCGGAGCCGCGTCTCGGACGGAGCCTCCGGGAAAAAAAAAAGTGCGAGATTCCTAGAAATTATCGCTGGGCGGCTGCACCCTGAGTCAGAGCACGGGGAGGGTGCCAGGGCACTCAAGACGGCGCTGGGGTGGTCAAAAGATGCTTCGCAGGCTCCTCTCTTCCACCTTGTGCTTTTGAATTTGTTGTTCTTTCCTTCTTTATTATTATTTTTTTTTTAAGTAGTTCCCCCCTTTTTGGACAGTTCCCAGGTTCACAGAGCAAAGCCACCCCCTCCTCCACCTAAAGCTTCTCCATCTGCCTGGGCACTGGGAGTTACTGGGCCCTTGCAATTATTTACTAATTATGGCTTGCTTGTTAAATGCTGGCTTAATTCGGCAAAAGGGGAGGGGAAAGGAAGAAAGGAAGGGTGAGCGTGGTAAAGGGAGAGGGGGGATCACATTTTCCAAGATGAAGGTTTGGTTTATTATTAGAAACACTAATGTATTTGGTCCACTAGTTACCATGGAAACAACATCTGCACTGAAGTGGTTTTAAAGACACAGTGTTGGTTGTGTTTGCCTGGGCCCCGAGCAGGCCCAGCCACCACAGGGCTGGGAAATGGGCTCTGGGTTCTTGGGCAGAGCAGCTTTTGGGGTCCTCTGGACAGAGGCGCCAACTCTGTGGTTTCAGGTAGAGATATTCTAGCTGAAGGATGCTCAGAGGTAGGAGTGGGAGTGTGTTCCCGCTTGGAATGGCTCTGGAAACAGCTGGTTGCATCAGTCCTGACATCCCTGCACCCAGTCTTCTTCCATGGACTGTTTTCTTGTCCTTCCACCATAATCCAAGTGGGCAGGGAAGCAGCTGCTGGGCTGGTGCTCTCCAGGAGAGTTTCCAACCTTCTCGAGGTGGACAGGGTGATCTCAGGTGAGCCAGGTGGGATTTGTCACCTGTCCTTGGAGCTTGCAGGGCTGTGTTCTGCCAGCAGCAGGGCTTCACCCTTCACCCCAAGCTCCAGCAGCTTTGGGGTCTGGCTCCAGAGGTTGTGATCGATGAGTGAGCCTTGCCCTGCATGGGAAGGACTCCAATATACCCTGACAAAGTTTTGGGAGGTTGCATGGCTGGGGAAAATAGAGATTTCTGCTGCAGGGAGGCTTCTATGGCAAAGCCTGGAGTGAAGCGAGTCCAGATGTGCGGCTGAGCTGCTGGTGAAGGTCCTCTGCTGATCCATCTTCTGGAAGTGGGCAGAGGATCAGGCAGGGTGGGAGAAGCAAAGGGAATCTTTGCCTTGGCTAAAGCAGAAGTTTCTCTTATGTAGATTTTATGTTCACACACTGCTTGATATCATTTAATTAAGCAGCCTGGGGGAAAAATGGTTAATTCGATGTAGCCAGATGCTGCTTCTCCATCAGCTCCAGGTGTTTGGGTGTTAACTGGATAACACAGGATGGGTGTCAGCCTTTTATCATCCCTGCAAGTATTTTTGCATTTGAGAGTGGGCTTGGCTGCAGGAGGATACAGCTCCTTCCCCCAGGCATATTTTATTATATCTGCAACTAAACTTGCAGCTGCTCCTCTGGGGTTTAGGCCTAAAATTGCTTCTTTTGCCCTCTTTCCAACTCCTCTGGCTGTTGGCTGGGTTATGTTTTCCCAGCTCATTTTTTCCCAGCCTTGAGTCCACTCATGAGCATCAGGATGAGTCCTTTGGCTGTGCTGGGGGGAGAACTGCGGCTTGGACATCTCCTGAATCCCCCAACTGAGCCACTCCAACGGTTTGGTGATGATGATGATGGGGAGCACCACCCTGGCTGAATCAGCTGGGACCCGTCTCCTGCCTGTGCCAGCCCTGTGATCCAGCATGGCTGTGCTCATCCAGCTCCTCATTCCCTCGCTTTCCTCCCCAAATCTCATTTTGAACAAGCCCACGTTGCCTCCCGTCCCCAGAGGTGGCATCTCGTCATCGTTGGTGTCTGCGGTGGTGACATTTATGGTGCAGTTTTTCATGTGCCTTTGGAGCTCTCAGGACAAGAAGCTCCGTCCGCCTGTGTCATTAATATTATTTATTGCTATAAATCTCCCTTCTGGAGTCTTTGGCCCTGGCAGCTTGAAATATTTGTAACCCTCCTATGGGCACAGCTCCTTTGCAGTGAAAAAAAGGCTTTTGGGACGAGTGTTGCTGCTGATTCGGACTGGCCAAGGACGGTTTGCCTGGGCTGGAACCTGAGAGTTGCTGGTGTAGTGGGGAAAGAAAGCAGTTTTCCTTGATTTCAGTGAAGCTGGAGGCTGAAAGTGCTGTGTTTTGAGTCAATTTGGGAGACAGACATCCCTAAACCGTGATGGAGCTGTTCGGATCCAGCTCAAAAGCTGGAGTTCAGATTTGTGTTTGATTTCCCCTGCTACTTCCACTTGATAGAGGCAGCCTCATGCCCTGCTTTGGCACAACTGCTGTTTGACCATCGTGAAAGATTAAAACCTCTTAAATTAAGGAACACAGACAAGCATTTTGGGACTGTCTTTTTGTTTTAGCTTTATACCCTGCCTGTCTTGGCAGGGCAATGCCTGCGGTGCTACACCTGCACAGTAGCAGTCCTAACAGAGAATGAGGGTAAAAAGAAACCACGGAGCTGCATGTGAGGCTTGTGGTGGTCATTTTTTCAATATATTTTGGCAATTTTTGGAGGTGGGAAGAAGTAGAGCAGAAGCCTGAGGAAGAGCAGCAAAGCCTTTCACTCTTTGGTTGTCTCATCTGAGTTTGGCTCGTGTTGTCTTTGCTGCCTTCCACCTTGTGCTTGGCCTTTGTAAAGTCAATCAAGCTTTAAAGCTTGGTTAAGCACAGCTTGGATGGGGTTTTGGGAAAGCTGGTCTGGTGGAAAGCGTCTCTGTCCAGCCAAGGGGTTGGAATTGGATGATCTTTAAAGTCCTTTCCAACCCAGACTGATGGTTCTGTGATTTGTGCAGCCCTTAGGGCTGGAGTAAAACTTGACAAATACATCTTTGTTGTCTCTTCCCCTCCTTACTGGTCCTGCCTGCAGAAAACTCATCACAGAGAGACATCTGAGCTCTCCTCTCATTCCTAGGCTTGATGAAGTTTCAGAGCTGGTGGCAAGAACTTGTAGGGGTGTTGAGTTTGTTATGTCTGCACTGAATTTTTGGGACATCTCACCTGCGTCTTGGTGTTTTCTGACAGGCAAAACCAGCAGCTGTTGAGTTTTGTGGTTTTTTTTGTAGCAGAGCTGGCCTGGGTGCTGGCCAGGCAGTGAGCTGACCTGTGAGATGAGAGGAAACAGCCTCAAGTTGTGCCAGTGGGGGTTTAGATTGGATATTAGGAAAAAATTTGTTCAAGGAAGGGGTTGTCAAACATTGGAACAGGCTGCCCAAGGAAGTGGTAGAGTCACCATCCCTGGAAGTGTTCAAGAAATATGTGGATGTGGCACTTGGCTGTTGGGTTGATCGTTGGACTTGATGATCTCAGAGAGATTTTCCAGCCTTGATGATTCCATGATTTATATCCCAGGATGTTGCAAGATGCTTTGTTCAGTGTTATTTCCAGTTTGCAAGAATGGGAAGCACCTTTCCTGGTGTGCTTCTTACCCATGGGGATAAAGCTCTTCTCTAAACTTACAACATTTCTTTTTTTGTCCCTCAAAACCTCCCTTTTTGGGATGGAAGGGACCTTCAAAGATCTTGTTGTGTCCCGAGGATCTTCCCCCTGAAAAGATTGTCCTATGCTGCAGGAGCTCTCTGTACTTCATGGACAGTGCACACACACAAGGTGGGTTATTTTAAGCTCCTAAAATTCTGTAAGGCCTCTCTTCCACAGGGAGGAGATCCAGGTTTCCCAGCAGGAAGAAAAAAAAAAAAAAAAAAAAAAGGTTGATGTTATGAATCAAATATTTTGTAAGAGTGTAGCAATTCTGACAACATTTTGATGGAAAATTATAGCAGTTTTATTTAGGTAAGACTGGAGAACTCCACTGGAGGTGAACATTTTAACATTTATGTTCTTCCATCATTTATCACGTGAAATTTGGAGTCTGGATGAGAACAAAGCCTTTTGCATACCTTGGGAACTGACAGTTCTCATATTCACTACAGTTTCCAGGCTTAGTTAATATTGGTTCTGCTTTTTCTGCAACTTTAACTCTTTAATTCAAAAATTGGACTTTTCTGAGGAAGGGAAGTTTTCTGTTTTGCCAGGCTTTGAGACATCAAACTCTGGTCAGGTTGTATGGGGGTTTAGGGAAGAGTTTGGTGTATTTGGATGCGTTGTTGAGGCTACAGCCAGAGCTTTGCTGTGCCTGTCAGTGAAATCGTGACCTTGA